AATCATGTCAATAAACCAGCCGGACGAACATATAAAACATAACGCCCAGAAAGCTCAGACACGTGACCGGACCCACCGTCTTGTCGTGAGCCAACGGGACCCCGAAGTGCTGAAACACCACCCCGAGAACCCGCAGCAGGAGGGCACAGACGTGTGCACACACTCTACTGAGTCCATACACACAAACACACACAGACTGCTGAGTCCATACACACACACAAACACACACACTCTGCTGAGTCCATACACACACACAGACTGCTGAGTCCATACACACACACACAGACACTGCTGAGTCCATACACACACACAGAATCTGCTGAGTCCATACACACACACATACTGCTGAGTCCACACACACACAGACTGCTGAGTCCACACACACACACACACACACAAGACTGCTGAGTTCATACACACATACAGACTGCTGAGTCCATACACACACAGTGATGAGTCCATACACACATACAGACTGCTGAGTCCATACACACACACTGCTGAATTCCTACACACATACAGACTGCTGAGTCCATACACACAGACTGCTGAGTCCATACACACACACTGTTGAGTTCATACACACACAGACACACAGACTGCTGAGTCCTTACACACACACTGCTGAGTTCATACACACACACAGACTGCTGAATCCATACACACACAGAGACTGCTGAGTCCACACACACACACACACACACACAGATTGCTGAGTCCATACACACACAGAGACTGCTGAGTTCATACACACACACAGACTGCTGAGTCCATAGACACACACACTGCTGAGTCCATACACATACACACACAGACTGTTGAGTTCATACACACACATACAGACTGCTGAGTTCATACACACACATACAGACTGCTGAGGCCAAACACACACACACACACAGACTGCTGAGTCCATACACACACAGACTGCTGAGTTCATACACACACACACACTGCTGAGTCCATACACACACATACACACACAGACTGCTGAGTTCATACACACACAGACTGCTGAGTCCATACACACACACACACACACACAGACTGCTGAGTCCATACACACAGGCACAGACTGCTGAGTCCATACACACACACACAGACTGCTGAGTCCACACACACACACACACACACAGACTGCTAAGTTCATACACACACACACACACAGACTGCTGAGTCCATACACACACAGACACAGACTGCTGAGTCCATACACACACACACATACTGCTGAGTTCATACACACACACACACACACACACACACATACCGGGTTGAGTCCATACACACACACACACAGACCGCTGAGTCCATACACACACACAGACTCTGCTGAGTCCATACACACACACACAGACTCTGCTGAGTCCATGCACACACACACATACTCTGCTGAGTCCATATACACACAGACTGCTGAGTCCATACACACACAGACTGCTGAGTCCATACACACACACACACACACACACACACTGCTGAGTCCATACACACACTGCTGAGTCCACACACACACACACACACACACAGACACAGACTGCTGAGGTCCATACACACACAGACTGCTGAGTCCACACACACACACACACACACACTGCTGAGTCCATACACACACACACAGACTGCTGGAGTCCATACACACACACACACAGACTGCACACCATACACACACAAAGACTGCTGAGTCCATACACACACACTGCTGAGTCCATGCACACACACACACACACACACACACACAGACTGCTGAGTCCATACACACACAGACTGCTGAGTTCATACACACACACACACACACAAGCTTCCTCACTAGCAGAGAGAGACACACACACACACACCAAGCCTACCTGTCACTGGAGGTTGTTGCTGGGGGTCAGACAGCCATCTTCCATCCTTTCTAGCAGCAGCAAGAAATATGGCTTTGCTAAAGAGATGGTATTGATGGACTTCTTAAATGATTGAAGACTAATGGAGAGTATGATGTGGGTAGGTAGGTTGTTCCAAAGGAAAGGAGCCACTCGCAAGAAGTCCTGCAAGCACAAGTTACCAGTAAGGGTGTGATCAGCGGTCATAAATAGTCAACGGCAGAGTGGAGAAAACGAGAAAGATCATACCTATGAATTAGAAAAAAAAATATAACATGGGCTAGAGTTGTTTATAGCTTTATAGGTAAGGGTTAGTATTTTGAATTGATACATGTAGTTACAGGAAGCCACCATAAGGTTTGACAAAGGGACATGGTGTGAGAGGAACGTCAAGAGGAAAACCAGATTAGTGGTAGCATTTATTACAGACTGTAATGATGCAGTATGGCATAAACAAGCTCTTTAGCAACATCCTGCATAAAAAGGGGGGTGGGGGGGGGTGAGGGTGGGAGAAGGGTGCTGGCAATGTATTTAAGGTGAAATTGACAGATTTTGGCAACAAACTGGACGTAAGGCGCAAATAATTCATGTTTTTTTTATCATGTGTCTGGACATTTCTGTAATTTTATTGCTGTTTGATATGGTTTAATATGATTCAATGTGTGCTTTAGGTTTTCGATGCAATTCTTCATTGCTAGCTAATTTTCCCAACTGGATTTACCTATCAGATGCATAGGGGTTTAGCTGTTAATGTAAGCTGTTAATTTCTTTGTAGCAGACATGAGGCTGGTGTTTTGAAGATCAGTATAGACATGGTTAGAAACTAGTTGGAAACCAGTCACTAAGTAAAGGTTACAAAAACAGAGAATATGAGAACTCTGATAACGCTAAAGAGAAACTCAATAGCTTTGTCTTCGGTAAATCCCCACTCAGGTCTCAAAATAGGTTTTGCTCACTTGTGCCTTTAAAGAGAGAACATATTCCAAGGCATGTCAGACTGATCCCACCCATAAGGGTAGTCCAGAGCCGAAATGCCAGCAAGTTCTTTCTGCATGAGAGATACAGCAACCTCAGATGATTGTTTTGGCTTTCTTTAGGCCTTGTCAGGGAGGTGTAGCTGATACCCCTCTAGGCTCAGTGTTTATGTCTGGATTACTCTTTTAACTTGGGGAGAGTCAAGTTAATGCATTGCAGCAAAAATAGATCATATGAGAACTCTGAGAACGGACAAAAGCTTAGAGTAACTCAATAGTTTGTCCTTCTGTAAATCCATGGTAAGGTCTCAAAATAGATTTGTAAGTAAAGGTTAGTGGTCACAAAGAAAATAATGGCAGCCATTAGCCACTACTTAGCAGCTGGCTGGTTGCTAAACTACAGCCTTAGCCACACCTCCTTGCATGTGACTTACACAGCCTTCCTAAACAAGTCATGTAAAGAGTCATTTAATGATTACACTTTCTTTATTGCAAATTCTGTTTAATTTAGAATTTATTATCTCCTGCTCTGGTAATAGTCTCCTCCTGTATGTAATTAAAGTTTAATTTTTAAAGCAGGAGTTAAAAACTTTCACAGTAAGTTATATTTGATTGGAAATGAAACCATTTTACTTTCATACAGGCTGTGTCAATCACAGCCAGGGGAGATGTGACTAATGATGCATAAATAGAAACAAAAGTGATTTAACTCTTAAATGGCAGATAATTGAGCAGTGAAACTTCAAAGGTATGATCTATATACACACATACTTCTTCATTAAGCTAAAGTTGTTTTAGTGACTGTAGTGTTCCTTTAACTTAAAAAAAACAAACTGAAAAAAAAAATAACTGGTTTACAGATGTTTTCTAATTTAACTCCTGTTGAGTGAAGAACCCCAAGTGAATTTACCTCTGTTTTTGTATTTAATACTTCACATGTTTTCCTTTTTATGTTTTCAAATTACATTTTACTTTTGTGAAGCAATTAAGACAGCCTTTAAAAAAACATATTTGCACCTCATATAAAGCGGTGCAGGGCTCAGTAAAATTTCTTTCCATTTGTTGACTTCTTATTTTAGAACAGGAAGTCACTGGTTTTGTGTCACTGGTTTTCGGGTAAAACACTTTGCTTTTGTTTGCACACACTCTCGTACTGAAAAAAACACTCGCAGCATGGGCTCCCGTTGTTTTCATCTATTATGGATTTTCTATTTCACATCCATTCATCTTTCATGCTTCTGTTTGGTAAGAAGACCTTGTCAGGTCATGGAGAGACAATATGAGAAATATGCAAATCTCGTGTTTAATCATTGTGATGACTTTACACAAGTGAATTTCACGATTGCAGCCTATTGTCCAGTTGATAAATATAATCTACACAATTCCCTGGAAGAAGTGCCAGTAGAAACTGACTGGCTTTGTATGTCCTTTTCCAATGTCACCATCAAAACTGGAATCTTTTCTCGTTTCAGTAACCTGAAATCTTTATATTTAATTGGAAATTTTAAGCTTTTACCTGAAAGTTTAGAAAGCCTTACCGAGCTTACCACTCTTTGGATACAACCGGACAGGTACACAATCACTGGAAAACTGGACTTTGGAAGACTTAACAACCTGCAAAATCTCAAATTAAATGAATTTCAGTTTTCTGATGTAAATATGTCAACGTTTGGGGACTTGACACAGCTGAAGCAATTGGTTTTGTCTCACAATGAGATCAGATCATTTTCATCCTTGACAGAGCATTTGACAAAGCTGAAATACTTACAGGATCTGTTCATGGAGAATACAATCAGTCAACTCAAAAAAGTAGATTGCCTTACTGACAAGTTATCTCTTGGTAATCCCTATGTAAATTTTAGTATTCATTATCTGAGTTTTGGTAGACAGCAGATACACTACTTGGAAAATAATTCATTATGCAATTTTCCAAAGCTTTCTTTTTTAAAAATTAATCTTCACCCAACGATTGCTGACGATTTATTTTACGCTGGAATTGAGACAGTTGACACAATGTCATTAGCAGATATACAGTTTGGGTATATTGAAATTTGTGTATATGCGTCATACTTTAAAGTGAAAGTTCTTCAACTAATGAATACTGATTTGGTTAGTATTGAAACAACGAACGGTTCATGCTCAACATTAAAGACTTTAGATGTATCTTACAACATGATAGAAAATGTGTCTTTTTTGCAGATAGAAAAATTGAAAAACGTAACCGACCTTAATATATCCAACAACAGAATTAATGCATTGGCTGTATGTCCCATTACATCTTCAATCAAAATGGAGCTTCTCTATCTTAATATATCATTCAACTATATAACATCATTAGAAGAAGGACAATTTGCTTGTCTAAAAAATCTAAAAATGTTGGATCTGAGTAACAATCAAATTGATGATATAAGAAACTGTACATTTTGTGGTTTAAGGGAGCTGGAAGTTTTACATTTGGAATATAACCACATTTACATGATTCAAGAATATGCATTTTCAGATCTATTTGCATTAAAACAGTTAAATTTGGATGACAATCAGTTAACTTCAATAGATGAGTGGGCATTTTATGATCTACACATAGAAGAACTTACACTTACTTTTACATACGATATAGAAGAAATTTGGTGGTCAAAACATATTGCTAATACGCTAAATAAACTTTCTCTAAAAACCACAAATACATATATCATGCTGTTATATGAGAATTTCAACAATTTGTTTCACTTAGAAAACCTAGAATTAGATGCCCAATATGTATATATTGACATTTGTGATTGTTTCCTCTTTCATAGAATAAAGGAGTTGCATTTATTAAATAACATTGCTTTTGACTGCATGGATGCAGCACTGCCAGTACTGGGCAATTTCATAAATCTTGAAAAACTATATTACAGAGCATATTATACCGAGCCTTTAGAAATGACTGTCACAATCAATTCAACATTAAGACATTTAAAAAACCTTAAATTTCTTTGCTTAGATAATACAGAAAAATTTGCAGAAAATTTACTCATAAACCCATATGAGTTATTTCAGGGCTTAGCAAACCTTAACACTTTACAATTGATAAATTCAGGATTGGAATATTTTACCTCCAATATGATGTTTAATGATTTAAAATCAGTGATATTTTTACTCATAGAAAATCAAAATATAAAGGACATAAAAGCTGAGGCATTTTCCCCAATGAGTAACTTAAACTTTATTTATTTATATGATACAACCTTAGCATGTAACTGTCAGCTAAATTGGTTTAATCAGTGGCTCCTGTATAACAAGCAAGTTTCATTCATTGATTTCTATGATCAGAGGTGTTTGGTTGGAGCAAAACATTCTGACTCCACATTGTCAACGTTCTTAGATAACTGTACAGCAGATTTGCAAGTTACACTGTTTATAGCTTCATTTGTAGGCACGATAGTGTTTATATTGATAATTCTCTTTCATGAAAGCATTTGGTGGTATACCCTATATTTATTCTATACAGTGAAATGTTGGCTGAATCGCCGGAAAGAAGACGAACAATACCAGTATGATGTATTTGTTTCCTATAACACCACTAATGAACAGTGGATAACAGAGGAGTTACTTCCCAATCTGGAATACAATGGTCCCCCTTTTTTTAAAGTGTGCATCCATAATCGGGATTTTGAGATTGGCAGAGACATAGTTGAGAATATAGTGGACAGTATTTATAAAAGCAGGTGGACTATCTGCCTCATTACACATAGTTACCTACAAAGTTATTGGTGCTCCCTAGAGATGCGAATGGCAACTTACAAACTTGTAGCAGAGAATAATGATTCTCTCATATTGATATTCCTTGATAAGATCTCCAAGGAAGAGATTCAATGCTATCACAGACTGACCAAACTGTTAGATAAAAAAACCTACTTGGAATGGCCAGAAGATCCTAATGGACAGAAGTTATTTTGGGCAAGATTACGTAAAGTAATTGGTATTCATGTTGAGAAAGATCATGATGGGCTGTAATCACAGAGAAAGATACCACATTATTATCTACTGCAATAGTAGCTTCAAAGACAATATAGCAGTAGCAATACAAATCTGGGATTTTTAATCCAATGCTACTCATAGTGGAGCTTTGGGGATCTAACTGTCCCTGCTTCAATGCTTTCCTGTGGGGGGCTTCTGCATCATATAAATAAGTTTTACTAGGTCAGTTCAGTGAAAGCGCCTCTAATGGCTGTCAATTTGACAGCCACAAGAAGTGGACGTAACCCAGCAATGTAAACATTGCATTTTCTAAAAAGCTAAAAGGACAGGAACACTGCACCCACACCACTTTATTGAGATGAAGTGGACTGGGTGATATTAGAAGATATTAGATGCAGAAAAACTTGTAAAAACAACAACTTTATGGAATCTATACTATTTCCTGCAACATACCGATATTTACAGATGTAATGTGCCAGGACTTTTAGCATATATTGTGATTAAAATATGTCTAGTTTAAAAAACTGCTTATAACTTAGTTGCATTGTTTACACGTGCCTAAATGTAAGAGCTTTGCTATGTTAGTTGTTACATCCATGTATATGCTATTTCACAAATACAGTAAAACTATTGGACTGCTCTTAAAAAGGAATCTCTTTTAAAAACATTTTTTATGAATATTTTTTCCTTTTGAAATGGTTCTACTGTTTGATAACATTAAAAAGCAGAACCAGTTTGTTTTGTACAATGTAATAGATCTTAGTGAACTGTTAAATTTGTCTGATGCATGAATTTCGAGTAGTAAGTTAATTATATATTGTGGAACATGCTCTTTTTTAAGTTTTTTTCTAATTTTCTCATGCTCAAATTTTTTTGTAAGTCATATTTAACCCCATTAATAGACTTATAATTTGTTATTGTGAATGATTGTATCTCATATCTAGAAACTAGTTGTGTTTGGCATTTATTATCATTATCTTGTTGCTGATGCATTGCTAGCAGAATCATTTAATAAAACACAAAGTGTTTTAAAACACCAGTATATAGATTGCTTTTCAAACAAACTTAAAATTAAAATTAAGTGAATGTACACAAGTTTAAAATATAGGCTCCTAGTATAATGATGCGTGTGCCTTTAGGGGAGCACTACCTTTCTTTGCAGCAGAATTCGGCAAGAATCCACTGGACTTCAGTTGCAAGCTAATATACTTTATTCATATGCCAACTGAAAATAAAAAAGATGTAAAACATTAAAAATAAATATGATACCAGTCCAAATATAGTTCTTTGTAATTCTTTGCTGTCCGAGAGGGCTGAGGGTTTTATCAATTGGGATACCTGCTTCCTGGTGTGTTGTTGTGTTTAACCCCTTAAGGACACACGACATGTGTGACATGTCATGATTCCCTTTTATTCCAGAAGTTTGGTCCCTAAGGGGTTAAATCCGTATTTCGTCCCTGATTGGCCGCCGCAGTATTTAAGGGCATGTGTGTTCACAGCTGTTTCCATCCTGATATTAGACCAGACGCAACATCACTCCCAAAGCACCATCTTTGTTTCTCTCGGTATTGGCAGATTGATGTATAGAATGTGGAAGTGACGCAGCAATGAAATTACTTCCTATAAAGCCTCTCTCCCCATTTTGTTTTAGTATGTCGTATGTATGTGCATGTAGGGGTGTCTTTGTATGTACTGTTACTATTGGAAGGCAGTGGTATACACACACATTCATATACACACTGACATACACACACATAGATAAACAAATTGACACACATACACACACTGATACAGAGATATGTACATTGACATAGAGATATGCACACTGACACATGCACATACACAGATGCACACCCTAACACAGAGAAACACACACCTTGACACATGCACACACTGACATATGCCCACACTCTGACACACAGATACACACACTGGCATATACACACCTTGACATACAGATGCACACACTGATACATACAGAGACCTTGACACATACATAAATACATATAGACACATACATGCAATTATTATATTTGCAGCCACCCTCCTGTTAGCTTAACTTTTGTGTCCAGGAGGATTTGGGTCCTACTGCTCCTGCATGAGGCTGATAGGATTGAGAGTCTGAAGCAGCAGCTCACTTCTGTCTCTCTTCCTCGAGCTGCATTTGCTGCATTCCACCTCCTTCTCCCTCCAGCGCGGGCTCTGTCCTTATAGCTGGGAGGAAGTGATCGGTTGTCACTTCATCCTAGCATTGGCCATATTACAGGGGCCCAATCACACTTTTAACCCATTAAGGATGTTGGGCGTGCTATGCCGTCCTTGGGGACCCGGCTCTAAATGCCGGTGGGTGACGTAATACGTCCCCGCCATCCTGGCCACTTACCTGCTTGCTGGCGATCCTCCGTTGATGATCGCGATGGGGGGACTTACCTGACATCCCAGGGAGTCCCCCTGCTGCTGATCCGGCCCTCCTGGGCCATGTGATCACGAAGTCCTTGCGAGGACCTCAGCAGTGCCAGCATGGGGAGTGCCTGGAATGACAGGTAGTCCACCTGCTGCCTGTAAAAAGTTAAATATAAGTTAAAATACAGTGTAAAATAAAATAATATATACTTAGATCATATATATAGAAACAAATTTTGTCCCTGCACTCAAGCTGTAACTTAGTAAATTGCCGGGTGCTAGCCAGGGCTCAAGTGTATCCAGATAGCAACAAACTTTAGCTGCACTCACGGTCTGTAGATAAAATCTTCAATTCTTTATTAAGTTTATGTTAAAAATAGGATCTTTAATATATATTATTTATATGATCTAAGTATATACACTTACACATACATACATACACATACACTGTCTATATATATATATATATTTCCTGACCATTATTCATGGCAGCATTTACTCATGGGTTAGCTCCTCCCCTTACAGCAGAAAGGACAGGAAATAGAACTTTGAAACTGGTATAAATAGATCCTCCCCCTTCCCATCAGGCAGTCTTTTTTCCTGTCCTTCACAGCAGTTTAGATACTCAATTTAGATACTACTTTGTATACTCACTATGCTCTTACTAGGATTTAATTTAACACTTGTTATTTTCAACACTAGTACTATTTAATTTGTCCCCCACATTTTAGCATAGGACCCACCAATACTGGGGTACTTTGAAAATAGTGGTGGGCTTAACAACATATGGCCATATGGTGGAA